TCTGCTAAGTGTTGTAGTCAAGTTTGCAGAAATTAAGTGTACTTTATGCTGAGTCACCTCTACAAAATTCTACTAGTTAGTGAAACGTGTAATTCTCTGTAGAATGAATTTCCACAAAAGGATTCTAACATCTAATTTTTGACTAATTGTCTCTAATTTGTCTAATTCTGACATCAAACAAAAAATTCCACTTAAAATCACTTATTCCCTGCAGTGCCAAATAATCAGCACTTATTGAGTGATTGCTGTGTGCCTGGTATATAGCCTTATTCCCATAACATACTCAGTGTGAGGAAACACAATTTCTTCTCTTAGAGAGCTCTTAATTTAGGTGGGACACACACATTGCCAAAGTTTTCTCAGTATTTCCCAAGCAAGATCTAGCTCTCGGGTAGGCTTCTCAAGAGGGAAAAGTAGGTTTTTGTTGTTGATAAGTTTTTATATTGGTTTTTACTTATTCATTTGTTCAGGAAAGTTGTAGAGTTTTGTCAGACACAGTGCTAGACGCTAAGGTTGTGGTTGTGAGGAAGAGGTATATCCCCTGCTCCATCTAATAAACGATGCTGGTGGTCACATGGGAAGTTCCCAGTGAGCCAAGACCTTGTGTGGTCTTCTCCCCTCGAATCTGGGCAGCCCTGCCTGCAACTCACCTGAACCACTGGAAGGTGCCGGAACTGATGCTGTGAACGTCCGGGCACTGGACACATGTTTTGAATTCAGAAGTTTAACGAAAAACGTATTGAACATATTATTTGCAAATGTAATAAACGTAATGTTTAAAATAAGCTGATACTGTTTTGACACTTTTAGTCAGGCTATCCTTTTCTTTTTATATGAATATTGGTTGCCAAAAGCTTTGTTTCAATACAAAAAATATGTGCAGCTATATATATTTTACCACTTTCTTTAGGACCCAGTGTGCCTGGAATTGAGGGTAGGATTGCCAGCTCTGCTGTGTTAAATATTCCATCTTATCAAAGAGGTGTTTCATAAATTATGTATAACAGTAGATGCCACTCAATAAATATTTTATATGTGATAGATATTTTTGTCTGAAATTACTTTTTCACTTGAGGAATGATTTAAACCCTCGTTTTCAGTTTATGAGGTGACACTTTTATAATATCATGTAGTCAGTGCAGCTTGAATGTCACAGGGCTTTGGGGCAGCATTAATCATTAATTCGTCTGCCCCCACTCCCAATCCTGGAAAACGTCCGCGTAATTCAGGTTTTACCCATTCTGTGTATGGAAGTGTGTGTGTGTGTGGGGGGGGGATGGGTGGGACAAGTAATGCTTTTGACCTAAAGCCTCCAAATTTATGAATTTCAAATGATTTTCAAAGTCTATGAAACTTATTTCATGAAAGGAAAACAAAGTGTTTTTTAATGGTTAAAAAAAAAAAAAGGATATTAAACTAAACTGGGATGTAGTCCAAAACAATTCCTCTAGTTCAAGTGGGAGCTATCTGAGTTTAAAATATTGCCTTTTTGGAGGGTTATTGTCCACTTTTATGCAGAAAGAAAATACATATTTCTCTGGGCTTGTGAGAACAGTCGCTCTCCTTTTCACGTGGACCTCTAGAGGCCTGGAACAGTCCATTGCCAAGAGGCTACCTACCAAGTGTGCAGTACTGTCACAGTTCAGAGCTACCAGACCTTCCAGTGAGGACATTGTTTTATGAAATGGAGCTGTGTGATTAAATTCTCCACTGTAATATATATCTTAAAAAAAATATCACATACTTTCTGCTTCTGCTTGAATTCTGTGGGCAGGATGAAAAGCACGAATTCTGCCAATATCCAAGAGGTAGGAATAGGGGTTGGTTTATTTAGAGTGCTCATTACAGCTGAGATTTGCAAGGGCCTTGTGCAGTAAATCAAGATTACTGAAGTCTGACCTCGATGCCTGAGGTTCCAAGCCCTGGAATGGGAGCCTGGCTGATAAGAGGAGTAATTGTGAAACAACGATACGCTTGGTTTCCTTTTCTTGAATCTAAGTTACGTATTAGTCATTTTCTCTGCATATCTATTTAATGGTTGTTAAACTAAATTGCTTTCTTTCAAGTGGAGATTTTTATGTTTTTTTTTTTTAACTATCTTTCTTGCTGCTTCATTCCGTTGCCCTCTTGCGGGATTCCAGCTCTGCGTGTGTGCATTTGAGACTCCAATGTCTGCAGAGAGATGAAGGCCCGAGGGACTTCTCTCTTTCCACTGCCCTTCCCCACTACCTCTTAGGAGCTCCCTTGTCTACAAGGTTGTGAGGTTCTGAATCCTTCACCTAGAGAGTGGCAGACTTTGTACGTTGTTTTAATATTGAAATGACACAAAATACATTTATTCATTCCAGGAATATAAGGAGTACCGATGATGTTTCAGGCAGTGCTGGGCGTAGAGTTTCTGAGCTGTGCCTTGGGCAGTGCTGTCTGATTGTGGGGGTGGGGAAGAGAGTCATTAGGAGTGGCTCTGACCAGGAGCCCCAGTTAGTAGCTTGGAACTTGCTCCCCTGTTGCTCCCATCATGCCTACAATCACAGAGCACAATGTTGTGCTCTTGGATGTGACTCAGTCTGAACTCAGTGCAGCCCAGCTTCAGGTTGGAATTTTCACCTTCAGTCTTCTGGAATTTGTCTGCTTTCCACCTCAGACTTGCCTAGAAGCCTGAATTTAGAGTTCTTTCATCTTGAGTCAAATGAACCTGCCAGTCTCTTGCCTTAGAGTTGCTATTGACCCTCCTTCCTGCATTTCTCTGAACTCTGAGTATCTACCCACTCATTTATTCGTTTGACAAATATTAATTGAGGGGCTACTAGGTGTCAGACATGAAATTCAGTACTGGGTTGGTTACATTCTCGTCAGGGGACAGGTAGTAAACTTGCATGTAACATATCATACAGTGATAATTGCTAAGGAGGGAAACAAATCAGGATAAGGAAAGATGGTGGTTGCTATTTTGTATGGGTTCATGGGGCAGGTGGCTTTTGAGCAGAGACCTGAGGAAGTGAGGGCTGGCCAAGTTATGTATGTATCTAGGGTAATTCTCAACTGAGGCTGATTTTGTCCCCCAGAGGACATTTGCCAGTGTCTGGAGATATCTTTGGTTGTCACAACCCTTGGGGGAGGGGTAGTGTGTTACTGGTGTCTACTGAGTAGAGGCCAGGGATGCTGCTAAACATCCTACAATGCACAAGACATCCTCCCATAGCGAAGAATCATCTGGTCTGAAATGTCAGTAGTGCGAGATTGAGAAACCCTGCTCTGGGGGAAGAGAAGGAATAAACAATGACAGAAGAAACAGCAGCCACAAAAGCAGAAGGAACAGTGCTGACTAAAGCCCTCAGGTTAGGGCAGGCTGGCAGGTTTGCAGACAGCAAGGAGCTGTGGATTCCTAGAGATGAGTGAGCAAGGGAGAGAGGCAGGAGAGGAGAACAGGAGGTTAGCAAGGGATGAGATCGTGTAGAGCTTTGTAGAGCCTTACAAAGACTTTAGCTTTTTATCTCAGTGAAATAGGAGGCCATCTAAAGGAGCTGAGCAGAAGTGGCCTGTCCTGATGTCCCTCTGGCTGCCGAGTAGAGCATGTACCATAGTTGGGTCATGAGTGGCAGTGATCCAGGTGAAAGATGATGGTGGTTGGGACCAGGCAGGAGTGTGGTGCAGGTGGTTTGATGTTATCAGATTAGGGGCATATTTTGAAGGTAGAGTCAATACTAAGTATGTAGGGTTTAGCGAAAGAAATGAGCAAAGTATAGCCATGGTTTTTGGTCTGAGCAACTGTAAAGAAGGTTGGCATTTACCGAGAAGGGATAGTGTGCAGGTTTGGGAGGCAGGGGAGTCAAGGGTTGGCGTTTCAGTGTAATAAGTTTGAGCTGCCTCTTTGGCAGCCTCACACATAAGTTGAGGTAGATAGGTATACATGCATAAATATGAAGTTTTTAAGGGAGAGATCTGCCTGGAGATTTAGATTGGAGAGTCATCAGCATATAGATTGCAGGTAAAGTCAAGAGACAGGATGAGATCATCAGGGGAGTGACTGTAGATATAGAGTCCCAAGGGATGAAGCCTCCATGGAGGGGGTTCAAAAGAGAGTGGGAGGAGAGGACTACAGGTGTAGGGAACTCTTTGTAGATGATTTTCTCTAAAGGGGCACAGAGGAATTGGTGGTAGCTGGAGGGAGCGGCAGGGCCAAGGGAGGTGGTGGTGGTGGTTGTCAATAGGAGATCTAGAGCAGATTTTTATGTAGGTGGGAATGCTCTGGTAGATCGGAGAAGTTGATGATGCAGGAGACAGAGGGTCAGGTGCCTCAGTGCAGGGGTAGCTAATGCACAGGAAAGAGTTGCTCTTAGGAACATGCACAGTTTGACTACTGTAACTGGAGAGAAGAGCCAACAAATCAGGAGCCATGTAGGTATTAAGCAAAATAAAGCTTCTGAAGAGCGAGAACGATTACTTTGCAGTCAGATCATCCTAGGGCGAGGCTTGAGCTTGGCTTCAAAGAGGTTATATATATATCAGGCAATAAGTTTAATTCTTTTTTTTTTTTTTTTTTTGTGAGGAAGACCAGCCCTGAGCTAACATCCAGTGCCAATCCTCCTCCTTTTTTTTTTTTTCTTGCTGAGGAAGACTGGCCCTGGCCTAACATCCATGCCCATCTTCCTCTACTTTATATGGGATGCCACCACAGCATGGCTTGACAAGTGATGCATCAGTGTGTGCCTGGGATCTGAACCTGTGAACCCTGGGCTGCCGAAGTGGAATGCGCGCACTTAACCCCTGTACCACCAGGCCGGCCCCTAAGTCATTTTTTTATTGAGCTTTCTATGTGTTTCAAGATCACTTTGCCTACCATATGCCAGGATTTCAACATGAAGTTTAAGGTCCATTTTTCTTGCAGTTTTTTTGATGAGAAATAAAATATTGCTCATTTTAACAGTCTGAAGAACACCTCATAGGAAGTTCTCTTTCCTCAGAGTAACCTTATCCTTTTCTTTCCCTCCTAATTTCAGGAACAAACTCTAGCCCTTCGGAAAGAAGGGATTGGAGTTGTTTTGGATTCTGAGCTGCCCCATTTGATTGGCATTGATGATGACCTTCTGAGTACTGGAATCATCTTATATCACTTGAAGGTAAAAAGTGCTTAAGTGGAACATTGTAGTTTTGTTTTCAGTTTTCCCTTTAGACACTAGCAAGGTTTATTATAATACTCTATGTCCGTGAACGCAGCTATTCCGTTAGAGACTATACAACAAATCCGTGAGCCCTTTGGAGATCTTCAGCAGTTCATTGGGGATTCTGTTGTATTTGAAGTTCTCATAGGTATGTAGTTCTAAAGCTAAATGAAGATCCATTCACTTTGCCTTCTAGTTTATAGAGTCAGTAGGAGGGAGGTAAGGAACAAAAAAGCAAACAGACTGAGGAAGAAAAGTTACAAGCACCTGGAACTGGGATTTGCTATATGTACGGTTTTCTGGTCCCTTGTGGTCATTATAAAGTGTGTTTCCAGCCTGCATTCTTGGGCCTAGTCCCAGATAGGCTGTTCATGTAAAGAGAGCAGAATTTCCACATCAGTCAGTGGTTGTCTGTGTAACCTTGACTTGAGTATCCTCTCTCTGATCCATGACTTCAAATGAGAATGGTATTGCACTTGTGCTTTGTGGGCTCCCATAAACTATATCCTTAGACACAAAGAACCCCCTGGCTGCTGGAAGAGAAACTTGCTGAAAGAATTAGGAACATCAGTGAGATTACTGTCATGGGCAAATTATTAATGCATGCCAGAATAGGAGCCTAACCATTGTTGAGCGGTAAACCTCAGGGGTTCTGCTGTCATTTTCCAGACAACATTGGGTATTGTTACAGACCCTCAGTGAACTCTAATTGCACTGAGGCTGTGGCCTTCCCCGGGATATTGCTCAGCCCCTCAGTCACCAGGTTGCTTGGGCTTAAATGAAAAATGGAGAAATAGACTGTTCCTCATGCTCTTACTAATAAATTTTACTTGAATTTTCTTTCTAGGAAGGTCAGACATATGTTGGTAGAGAAGATGCTTCAACAGAACAAGATATTGGTGAGAATATTTATTAATTTCCTCTTCCTAATGATTTTTTAAAAATCATTTAATGAAGAACTTTCTTTTGAGTGACTGACATTGAAGTAATTATAAAAATGAAAACTCTTTTTCAAATACAGTATTGATCAGTATGTGTAATTTTTATAATTTTGAGCTCAAATGAATAACACAGAAAAATTAATTTACTGAGTAAAATGGAACTATGAATCCTTTCCCCCGACCCTACATACATTCCATACTCTGTCACGTTTTTGAAGTTATTTAAATCACTCTGTTCTTGTCACAGTGGGACAGTGATTGATGGAAAGATGCCAACAGACACAGATAAAGCATATAAGACTCCTTAGTGGGAAGGATATAGACACTTACCTGCAGAAAGATTATGATGGACAGTAGGATACACAGATAGACAGCATACACACATATGGAGGCAGGGCTTACTAGGTTTCCTGAAAGTCGCCATGAGGCACGCAGATCACCAGTGATTCAGCCTGGGCAGGGTGAGGTCTTGCCAGGCTTTAAAAACATAACTTAGGGAATTCATTGTGGTGGTGGTGGTGTGTGTGTATATATGTGTTATGCAAGGTAGGGATTGGCAGGGGAAGAATTATATCTTCTCAGCTGTTTTTAGAATTGCTGGCGATGAACTTGCTTTCTTGCGAAGTGTAAGCTATTAATCAAGCCAACCCTAGCATATTCCTATGTGTATTTACTGTTTGCTGTGAAACTGGGAGAGCTGAAAACCAATTCCCAGAAGTCCTTAGGTTCAGCTGCTTTTGAGTAGAACTAGACACCAGGCTTCTTCTTCTAATCATTAAATTACGTGTTTGACCTTTAGGGGTTGCTATAAATGATGATGAGTGGTAAGAACATGTTTTCTTTGAACAGAGAAGTTCAGTAGTGCAATTCTGTGGAGAATAGTGGGAACTATTTGTTCTGTACTCCTGAGAAGCTGGCTAAGAATTGCGCCTAAAATCATGTAGGTTTATTTGTCAGGCTTTCATACCCATGCCTGGCCATTCATTGAACAAGAGTAACTCAGATGGTCATATGTGATTAGGTAAACCTTAGCAGCCACATGCTCTGAGAGGTCTGTGGAGGTCACGTTCTTTCAGAATTGGCACAAGCTGTGGCAGTGTGCGTCCCAGTACAGCTTCTGGAGACTTCTTTGGGCTTCCCAAGATCCGTGCCATGTCAAGTTCACCTTTGGTTTCTGCTCCTGGAATGCTGCATCTGTAAATGTGGAGGTCACAATAAGTCCTTGACCCATGAGCCCTGTCCCTTCCATTTTACTGCGACCTTTGGGTAGTGAGTGGAGGAAATTTATTCAGCATCAAAAAGAGTGACTCAATCTGTGGTGTTCAGTTAAGACAAGTTACTCAACTATTTTTTCCCTAAAGATGAAGTAAATTAATGTCCCAGACTTATTTCCTTATACAGGTGACGTCCAGACCCTTTGAGGGAACAGTCAAGGGATATCTCCAGTTCCATCAGTTGATGCCATGAACTCCTAAAATTCAGTTTCTTCACTAAACATAAATGTTCACTTCACAATATTTACATGGAAAAGGAAGACTATTCAATATGGAAAAATAAAGGTTGGGAATCATTGCACTAGATACGAAAGAAAAAACTTTATTTCTCCTTTGTTTTTCCAACTTAGTTCTTCATGGCCTTGACTTGGAGAGTGAGCACTGTATCTTTGAAAATGTCGGAGGGACAGTGACTCTCATACCCCTGAGTGGGTCTCAGTGCTCTGTGAATGGTGTTCAGATCACCGAGGCCACACACCTAAATCAAGGTATCTGGTTTTTGGTTTTCAGAGTTCTTTGTATATATTGTTGCTGGAAAACAAGCTGGCTGGGTAATGGGGGAACATGTGCATCTTAGAATTAATTACTGATTAAGTATAAAAAGAGTGAAGTCTGCTTCATTATGCTGTTTTCTCTTCTGTTTTGCTGAAGGACTTCTTTATAAAACCCATTGTCTTGTTGAATTAAACATGAGCATATATGTAGTTGTCCTAGACGTTATTGCTGTTATGGAAATAGGACTTTAACAGAATTTTTTAAGTTAACAAAGTACTCTTCAAATGCAAAACCTTAACACAATGGCTTCTTTTAATAATTTTATTACCTTATTTACATTCTTTTTATGAGTAGTTATAATTATACATACAGGATGTGGTATCATATCTTTTTCTTTTGAAATAATTTCAGTATTATAGAAAAGTTGCAAGAATAGTACAAAGAACTTTTTAATTTCAGAAGCATTTGAAAGTAAGTTGTTAGCATAATGCACCGCCAACCCTGATTGCCTCAGTGTGTATTTCCTTTAAACAATGGCTTCTCTTATGTAATTACAGTACAACCATCCATATTAGGAAACTAACACTGATACATTCCTACTATCCAATTCTCAGACCCCTTTCAAGTTTTGCCTTTTGTCCTGACAGTGTTCGTTATGGGTCCAGTATTCAGTCCAGCATCATGTGTTGTATTTGGTTGCCACATCTCTCTGGTCTCTTTCAGTCTGGAACAGTTCCTTGGTCTCTCCTTGACTTTATGACTTTGACAGTTTTGAAAACTGCAGGTCACACATGTTGTAGAATGTCCATCCATATAAATGTAGGATTTATCTTATGCTTCCTCAAGATTAGACTAATATTATGCATTTTTACAGGAATATCAGAGAAATGATGCTGTGTTTTTCTCATGTTCCATTACACGGTTTCTATTTGTCCCATTACTAATGATGCTCACTTTGATCATTTGATAAAGTGGAACTTGCCAGGTCTTCACTGTGAAATTGCTCTTTTCTCTCTTTTTTATTAATTTATAATTTTATTTTATAAAAAATATTTTTTAATTTTTTAAAAATTAATTTT